ACTTGTTGGCAAGATAATATGATATTCCTTCTAATGGCTTTAAAGATCTTTTATGTCTTGGATCTTGAATTGGCACCGATTCTAGAATCGCAAGACAATGATTCAGAGGAACTAAAGACAAAACACAAGAAACAAAAGGAGGATGAATTATTGTGTTAAGAACACATTATGAACACATTATTCGATCATTTCTAAAACCTCTACATAGATAACCAATCAACAGCAGAACTTTGGAAGACATTCAAGTTCATATTTCATGCTGAAGAGGAAGGTACTAAAAATGTGAATATGTGTTAAATAGAAAATGATTAAGAAACCTACCCATGGTGTAGATAGAAATACCAACTTTCTCGATCTTGTGCATTTAGATTTATGTGAAATTTAATGGCATGTTAACTCGTGGGGGAAATAAGTATTTCATTACTTTTGTTGATGATTGCTCTATATTCACACATGTATATCTTTTAAAGCATAAAGATATACCTTTACGCATTAAAATTTTTTAAAGCAGAAGAAGAAAATCAATTAAGTAGACGTATTAAAGTCATTAGGAGTGATAGGAGAGGTGGATATTTTTCTATTGAATTTGATGCATATTGTGTAGAATATGGTATATACATGAATGTTTTGCACCTCGTACATCACAATAAAGCGGTCTAGCCGAAAGAAAGAATAAGACATATAAAAAAATGATAAATTTCATGATAATGCACTATGAATTATCATTTAATTTATGGGGTGAAACTTTATTGTCTGCTAGTCATATAATGAATAGAATTCCTTTGAAGAAAATTGGTATTTCTCCATAAGAGGTATGGAAAGCCAAAGCACCAAATATCAGTTATTTTATAGTGAGAGTTTGTGTAGGTTATTATAAGAACATGGATCATAAAAGGACTAAGGTGGGTCCTCGAGAGATCAAATGTGTTTTTGTAGGCTATGCACCTAGTAGTAAAGTATATAGACTTTTGAATTTGGAGTCTAATGTAATTATAAAATCCTGAGATGTGAAATTATGTGAGAACCTTATCATAAAAGATAAGGAATCTGAGATTCCCATAAATGAAGAACCTTACGAGGAATATTATCCAAGGATTATTTAAACACAACCTGAAAGTTTTTAATAGGTTATTGAAACAAAATTCGAGCATGGATAAGCAAAAGAGTCTACAAGGCTAATGATGACTTCTCGGCAAGTGTACTGATAATGTCGCAGTAATAAAAAGATCAAACTTGCAAGGTCTGTGTTCGAACAGAATAATGATTTGTGCAAAATTTAATAAAAACAGTAAAAGGGGGTTGCAAGTTTTAGTACAAAACGTAATTAAACGAGGAAACTATGTTACGAAGATGGTCAGGTTGTGTTTTAGAATCCCTTTATGCACTCTTGTTGATGAACGATGTCTTGTATGAATTATCTTATCCTTATAATCTTATAGCTAATTAACAAAACTGTTATACCTAGTCCCCCATAAAATAACTCACTAACAACTACTCGGAGCTTTCTATCCCTAGTCCGCCAGCATAAGTAGTGTTAGGCAATATACTGACCGTTAATTCTATGTGTCACTACTCAAGGTTTCTTATCCCTATTCAACTGGCTTAAGTAGAACAGTTGTCCTAGACTTAATACATAGGCTATGGGTCAGGAATCCCTATGTATCTAACAACAGATTAAGAGAGTATCTCAAATGATAAGCATTTAGCATAAGAAACAACTGAGTAAAATTATAATTCAAAGGATTCATACAAAGTCAAACCGCCATATAATGTCAACAAGATTGAATAAAGTTCATCATAACACAACCTAACCTAAGAGAATTTAGTTACTCATAATAAGAATTACAATATCAATTGAATAAAGAAGAATAACATATGAATTCCCTTGAATGATTGACCTCAAATGACTTCCAATGCTCTCAAAATCACCCTTTTATGCTAAAAAAAAAATTGTGCTTCCAATGCCAAATTTTGTAACCTCTGTAAAAGTGCAGAAAAACCCCTTTTAAAGTTGTCAAAATGCGTCAGAAAAAGCAACAATCACGTGCATAATGCAAGCATCCCGCATGATGCATTGTTTACTTTTCTATCGCGCATGCGATGGCACGTAATGATGCGCGTGATTACTTCAGGAGCTGCGTTTTTTTTACTCTTTTTCACCAAAATTTTTACTAAGTCCCATTCTTCCAGACTTAGTTGTTTTTCACTCATTCTTGGGTCTTTCTTCATCATTTTGGTTCATCTTTTGCTCATTTCCTCCCAATTCTTCTACTGATTATATGTAATGACGAACTGCCATCAGCTAAGGATTTAGAACCTAATGAAATCTATTCTCAACTTATTTCTTTTTATCTAGTAAGAGAAAATATTGAGAGTTTTGTTCGTAAGATTCCTATTATTCTTCAACTGGAAGATGATCCTAAGACTTATAAGGAAGCATTAGCTTTAAGGGACTCTTCCTTTTGGAGGGATAATATCCAAAAAGAAATGGATTCAATTATGTCAAACTACACTTGAGAGCTTGTCAATCTACCTGAAGGATCAAGGCCTTTTGGATGCAAGTGGGTGTTTAGAAGGAAATATCATAGTGATAATACACCAAACACCTACAAGGTTAGATTAGTAGTCAAGAATTTTAGACGAAATGAAGGTGTTGTTTGCATTAGCTTCATTACATGACCTTAGAGTTCATCAAATGGATGTCAATACGGCATTTCCAAAATGGATATCTTGATGAGGAGATTTACATAGAGCAACCGGAAGGTTATGTGCTTCCTGATAATGAACAAAATGTGTGAAAGCTTGTCAAATCCTTGTATGAATTAAAAAAAAAAAAACTTAAACAATGTCATCAAAAGTTTGACTCTGTCATACTTTCAAATGGATTTGTTCATAAAGTGTGTGAGAATATTGTGATATTCCTTTGTCTCTATGTTCATGACATGTTAATCGTTAACAACAAAATGAATGGAATTTTAGAAACAAATAGATTTCTAACTTCCACATTCAAGATGAAAGGTCTTAGACTATTTTACACTATTTTGGGGGGATCAAAGTAAAACAAAACAATGGGGTTTCAAACACTTGTGTTTCAAGGAAGTCAAACACACTATGTTGAGAAAGTGTTTGATAAATTCAAATACCTGTGTTTCAAGGAAGTGAATACTCCATTTGATTCTAGTGTCAAACTTCAAATGAATGATGAAAAAGTTGTGGCTCAATTGGAATATGCAAGTGTAAATTATTGTCTAATGTATTTGATGCAATGTACTAGACCCGACATAGAATTTGCAGTTTACCTAATGAGTAGATTTACTAGAAATCTAAATGGTGAGCATTGGAAGGATGTCACAAGGATTTTCGGTTATCTTTTGAAAACCAAAATTTTTGTCATCCATTATGGTAGATTTCTTGTCATATTAGAAGGATATACCTATGTAAGTTGGATATTGAATGTTAGAAATCATAAAAATATATTTTTTATTTCATAAATATTTTTAAATTTTTAAATATTGTTAAAAATTAAAAATGATATGATATTTTTTTTCATTCTATTAATTTATATATACATAATTTGTAAATTACTTTTACATTTTTTTTATCCTGCATATTACGCTAAGTTTCTTTTTCGATGAATAAGTAATTAATTTATTTTTCTCTAAAGTTAATTTAAAATTTTAATTTGAGATACTCTAAGATTATTGTATTGTTGAAATGCTCAAAAATCATTAAAAAATGAGATGCTTAATTTTAATTAATCATCATCAAAAAATGGGATGCTTAATTTTAATTAATCATCATCAAAAAATGGGATGCTTAATTTTAATTAATTAACTTTGTATTTTAAACACCATATGCTAAAAATTTAGGCGATTGTAAGTTATTATTGGCACTTGATATAAGCAGTCAATTAGAATGACATTTACACACAAACCTATAAAATAATTATCAATTTTAAATAAAACAAAAAGTAAATTGGTGCATTTAACTGAGGCTTATTTTCATATAAAACATGATCAAATTTATTAACTATATAATTCTTTTTTTTTTCATGTATGGATGAGCATGGAAATAGTCCAAGAATTGTGTCTCCTTCAATTGTACTACATAAACACCAAAAATAAAAGAGTTAAAAACCAGAATTAAAAAAAAAAGAAAGCAACTGTCTATTCTATTTCCATGAAACACTACACCTAGTTGCATTTTTTCTTCCTTTTCTTTATTAAGTGATGCGCACCAAAACAAAAACAATGAAACCCCATTAATCCTTGTGGAAATAAGATGATGACAAATAAACATAATTTGGAAAATGTGAACATACTTTCACATCATTCACTCATCAAATCCATTAACCATAAAACCATTATGGTCAATAGCAAGTGACTAATATAAATGTAAATTCTAGAAGATAAAAATAATATATAGTATTCACTCGACACACATTATGTTTAATTTCTTTGACGAGGAATTTTGTCGCAAAATAGTTATTCTATCTATTGCGCACAGAGAATATTCAATTTATAAATAAAAAACATATTGATACAGTATCAAATACGATGTCTGTATTATGATTTTTTAAATAATACAATACAATAGTTAATACTATACAATATCAAAGCAGCTCAAAGTGCTATGGTTTCTCACTCCTGTCCTTCTCATGACCCCCCTCTCTCACTCTCATACCCATCTCTCCAATTCCCTTTTTGAACATATCTATCTATTAAAACAACTCAATTCATCAACCACTATACCTTTAAAGGGTCTTTTAAGGTTGGTCCTAAAATGCTCTCAAGGGTTAATACTACTACTACTATTACATTACATTACATTACATTACATACATATCCTCATTAATATTCTTCTCACACCCCTTCAATAAATTAAAGACAAAAGGAGCAATTAATGGTCCAAGAAACTCCATAGACAAATAATAATAAAAACTAAGAAAAAAGGAGGATATTTTTTTAGAGTAGTGGAATTAATCCCTTTTGGATATGATTTTAGCCATGTCGAATACCCATGAAATAATTGAAGTCATGATGTTGAACCCTTAGTTGCTTTAACCATGAGTCTGCCACACTTAATAGTGACATTAGTCTTTCTTGGTCCCGACCACGATTTCCTCCTGCCCACACATTCCCACCTTGCATCTTGTATGTTGCTAATCCAAAGGCTGGCAATGAGATGTTTTCTCCTTCCTTTTTCTTTTCTTGTCCACCTTCAATATCATCATCAAGGTCCATCCCTACATTCAATTAACATCTTTCTATAATTAGCACATTATAATAGGTGGTAATTAATGCGACACGGTTGGATCGGGCGTGTCATGCATCCCGATGGCATAGATTTTATCTAAAATATTTTATCATATGCGTGACTGAAGATGATCTAGACCGGACTCAGATAGTAGTTATTCCAGAGACAATTATGTAAAAGTAGGAAATAAGTACCTTGAAATGAAGATGAAAGTGTATGGTAAGTAAGGAAGCATGTGGAAAGATCTTTAATTGTTCTTCCCATAGGAATATGATATATTGGGTACCTGAAAAAAAAATATTCCTTAATAATATTTTTTGCCACAAAAGTACTAATAGATGGAGAGAATCAATTATGTTGAAGAAGTAAGAAAGTAGTTAAGGATAGGATAGGATGAGACAAAATTGGTTACCAAGCAACAGCCATCCAACTTGCTGGTGAAAGATCCACACTTCTTAGTGACATCAACCCTGGGTATCTTTGGGCTAATCCAGATATCTGAAATTCATTAAATAATGCTACAAATTCAACAATGGAATCTCTATACTTTTCTACATTATCATTCATTTATATGATTGATGCATTTTAAGTTCTTTCTTAACAAAATTGCTCATATCCATCCAAATTAGATAAAAGTTGTGGAACAAGAACTTATGCTATAAGCGCATGACAAGTACATTGATATGAAGTAAAGAAAGAAAGAAAAAAAAAGAAAAGAAAAAGGAATATGCTTAATAATTTCCATTTCCACTTATAAGTTGAAAACAAAATGAGTCTTTACTTATTCAAAAGGTCAAAAGTTGGAATTTATCTCTTTAGGGATGCCTATATCACTACTCAACAAATTATTGTTAGTCTACCACAATTTATATGAATTATGACTTCTACGCATTCACTCAGTGAAAGATTCGATGATTTAGATTTCAAGTTTTATATTTATATATGTTTTTCAAAAATTAAATTTTATGTTAAAATTATAACTCATCTCAATTGAATTGTTAGGATTTATTGATAACATGATCATATAAAATATGAATTCTCCGATTTCTTTCGAAACCTAATCAATTTAAGAAATAAAAAAGGAGAGCATACCTTATCCATTAGAGGTACTCTTCCATATGGATTTGATCTTTCAAAATATTGACAATAAAGATGACCCAATCTATCATTCAAATGCCATAGACAATCTTGTTCATATCCTCCTTCTTCTGATGAAGTTCCATCCCATCTCCATAACTTATCACATTCACTCTCATCACTATAAGAATCACTGCAAGAATCCCTTGTCTCACAATCACCTGATTCTGTCTCTTCCCTGAAAAATACCCATTTCAAATTTCACCCATTAAAAAAACTGTAAATCCTGATGATCTTTACAAGCCAGTTTTGTAAGAATAAGGATACCAGACATATAAAGGCCTAATATAATTAACAGTATCATAATCTTTCTCTAGCTGAAAGCAACAATGGTTGAATTTTTGAAGATCAAATACCTGAAAGTGTTGCTAGTGAAAATCTGAATTGCAGAAAGATAAGGAACATAGTATTGAACAAGTGTTTCTCCACTAGTTAACGTGATTGGAACACCAGCTCCATAAGCACTCCATTCATCATAACATTTCCATAAATCACCTAAAGTAAAATATTCCATTGTTTCTCTTTCCCATGGTTGCCACAAACGGTTCAGGTTCATAATTTCCGACTTCAACAAACAAAAAAACAAAACAAAAACATTAAAAAACAAGATATAATTAAAAATTTAAAATCTTCGAAAACAAAAATAAGACAATACCTTTGGTAGAAATTGAGATTGAACAACGGGTGTTGTAGAGCGAACGAAGCAATCAAGGTTAGAATGCATTGACCCTTGATTAAAAATCATGACCTTAGAGAGAGAAAGAAAAGATAGAGAGAGAAAGAGAAGGGAGGGAAGAGGAAAAGAGGGTGTTTTTTTCAGCTTCTCTCCCAACCCTGAAAAAAAACAGAGGAAGAGAATCCAGAAAAGGGAAGAAAAAAAAGAGAGAGAAAAAAAAGGTATATAGATTAATTTGGGAAACGAAATGAGTGTTTGAAAGATGATAAATGGAAATGGAAATTGGGTGGAAAAAGTAAAAAGAGTTTCTATTATTTAACTCTGAAACAGCTAATTACCCGTAAAATCTTATTGTCATAATCTATTTATAACTTTCTGTTGTTAGCTTTGGAAGGTAATGTTGTGAAATGAAAGCAAAATATTGTTGAAATTGAAGGGAAAAACTAGATTGTTGTTAAACATGAAAAGTGGAAGGGCTTTTTGCTGCGAAAAGAAGAGGGAAAGTGAAAAGAGAAAAGAGAGAAGAAAGAAAGAAAGTATTGTGATTGTAACGGATGAGAGGATGGGGGGAGTTATGGATTGAATTGAATACTCGGCGAAAATTATGGTGTCCAGATTACATTATTTATATAAAACATTCATGACCTTCATCAGTCTCTATTTTTTTTTTTTGGTACAAGTCTCTATTTTTATTATTATTAATTATTACTAAATATTATTTTTGTCTAACTATAAATTTTTTTTTTTTTGGTTTTTTCACTCCTCCATTTTTTATTATATGTTAATTTGGAAAAAAATTATAATAAATTATAAATTGTTTTAAAGAAAATGAATGATACACCGACGGTATAAATTAAATTTACATTATTAATATGTATTTTATTAAGTTAGAGTGAAATTTTTAAATTATTTGTATGAGATATTGAATTAGTGTTAAACTAGTTGTTTTATCAATAAGTTATTAATGTTATTTTTCTATTATATTGTTTAATTTTTTTTTAATTTTTAATTTTTAATTTTTCTTTTTTTCCCCCTATATATCAGTGAAAGATAATATTATAATTTTTATAAAAAAAAATTATTATTTCATATAACTAATTATATTTTTTAATATTTGTGAAAAGTTAAAATGATTTATAATAAGAAAAAGAAGGAGTATTGGTTAAGTTTGATGTTAAATATTTTTAAATAATGAAATTAATTTTAAATTGTGTTTTTTTATTGATACATAAAATTTCTTAATAAATGTATAAGGAATGTGTTAACAACTTAGTCACATTTTAAATACATTTAATGTTAAAGAAATGATAGAAATTTAATATAAAAAGTTTAAATCAATTTGATTTATAGGATCATAGCATATTTGAAAGTTCTTTAATGGGATATTTTGTAATGATAAAAAAGTATAGGTGTGTATGTTCATTTCGTTAGGCTAGAGAGATTCAGAGATTTTAGTAAGTTTTTAATATGTTTTTGTTGTAAGGACTTATTTGCAGCAGTGAGAAGCTCTGTATGTTCATTACTTGCAAACAGACTTTGACCATAATAGAGTTCGATCCAATATATCACAAATCTCTACCTTGGATTTAACTCTATAACATCAAAAAACTAACTTTCTTCATGCAGCTTTATCAACTGCATACAATGGAAAAACTTGCAACTGGACAACATCTTGGTGATCATATCAGCAGCATTATAATATGTCGAAATCTTCAGCACTGCGACTTCTCCATGCTCGATTACCCCTCTGACGAAATGCAACCTCAAATCAATGTGTTGGTTCGCTCATGATAGGCTGAATTCTTTGACAGATCTATTGTACTTTGACTATCACATTTAACAGTGATAACTTAACCTTGAAGTTTCAGCTCCTTTTCAAAACCTTCAAGCCACAATGCTTCCTTCACAGCTTCAGTTAAGGCGATATATTTCGCTTCAGTGGTTGATAAGGCAACGACTTCTGAAGTGTTGCTTTTCAATTGATTGCTGTCCCAAACATAGTGAATACGTATCCAGAAATAGATTTTCTAGAATCCATACAACCTACATAATCAGAGTCGACATATCTTTCAATTGTTGCTTTACTATCTTCACCCAAGGCTCCACCATAAATTAAGGCTCTATTCAGAGACCTATTTATGTACCTTAGAATCCACTTCAATGCTTGCCAGTGAGCCTTTCCAGAATTCGTCATGTATCTGCTTACAAGACTTACTGCATATGCTATGTCGAGTCTAATACAAACCATATCATACATCAAAGAACCCATTATATTAGCATATGGAATGCTATTCATATAGGCTCTTTCGACATCAGTGTTGGAACAATGATTTATACTCAGCTTGAGTTAGAGGTTTGTTGGAGTCACGTCAGGCTTTGAATTCGACATACCATAGTTTTCGAGAATCTTCCATAGGTATGCCTCTTGAGATAAGCATAATTTCGACTGTTCTCTATCTCTTCGGATGTCAATCCCAAGAATCCTGGACACAACTTCCAGATCATTCATGTCGAACTCCTTATTGAGTTCAGCCTTCACCCTCATTACATCTTCGACATTGTTGCTTGTTATTAGAATATCATCCACATAAAGAAACAGAATAACAAATGAATTACCAGGTCAAAATCTAAAGTAAACACAGTGGTCGAACTGATTTCTAATGAAACTTATGCGTGTCATGAACTTGTCGAATCTTCTATTCCACTGTCGATGAGATTGTGTCAGTCCATATAAAGATCTATTTAGTTTGCACACATAATCTTCCTTCCATTTTCCGACATACCCTTCAGGTTGCCTCATAAGGATTATTTCATCTAGATCACCATACAAGAAAGCAGTCTTCACATCCATCAGTTCTAGTTAAAGGTTAATTGTGCCATCGTGGCAAGCAAAATTTGAATGGATCTATGCTTCAAAACAGGAGAGAACACATCATTGAAGTCGACACCTTCTTTCTGAGGGAACCCCCTAGCGACCAATCTTGCCTTGTATCTCTTCGATGACACTCCTTCGATTCCTTCCTTAACTTTGAAAATCCATTTACAACTAATTAACCTGGCTCTAGCAGGTTTCTTGATCAGTTCACATGTGTTTTTATCACGAAGATATTTCATTTCATCATCCATGGCCTTCAGCCATTCAGTATACTTTTGACTCCTCAAAACTTCCTTATAGTCTCTAGGTTCTTCGTCTAGAACTTCACTTGTAGAGATTAAGGCATAAGCTATAAGATCTGCATACCCAAGTCTCTGAGGTGGCTTGATGACTCTCCTCGACCTGTCTCTTGCTAGCAGGTGGTCATTATCCGTCTCCTCTTCTTCGACAACATCTTCTGCATCTTCTTCGACTTCATCTGGGATATGTAATTTAGCATTAACATGCTCCACCTTAACAGAAATCTCTCCCTACTCCAGCTCTTCGTCAGCATCATCATTTTTCTTGAAAGTCATCTCTACTTCATTAAAAACTACATCTTGACTGGTGATACACCTCTTGTGACTTGGCTCTATGCACCATAGCCTATAAGTTTTGACTTCTTCAGGGTATCCCATGAACATGCATTTCAGAGCTCTAGGTTCGACCTTGTCTTACCTAATATATGCATAGGCCATGCAGCCAAATACTCTCAATATGTCGAGACTAGGTGGATATCTCGACCAAACTTCTTCAGGTGTCTTCATTCCCAAGGTAGTCGAGGGACATCTATTTATCAGATAGGCTGTTGTCGAAACAGCCTCCGCCCAAAACACCTTCTTTAATCTAGCACTAACCAATATGCATCTAACCCTTTTAAGGATTGTTTGATTGAATCTTTAAGCTAATCCATTTTGTTGAGGAGTACCTGCTACAGTCTTGTTCCTTGTAATCCCAGATTCAACATAGTAACTGTCGAACGTTTCGTTGCAGAACTCAAGGCCATTGTCAGTTCTCAACCCATAACTTTCTGGAATAGTCATCAACGATGGACAGAAAATACCTTGCACCTGAGTGCGAAGGATTCCTTGTAGGCCCCCAAAGATCATCATGAATGTAATCCAGGGATCCATGTGTTCTTTGCTTGCCTTTGTTAAACTTCGCCCTACAGGATTTACCAAATACACAAGATTCACAAAACTCCAACTTTTCGACTTCGTCACCTCTTAGCAGATTCTGCTTCCCCAATTCGACCAAGCCTTTTTCGCTGACATAGCCCAATCTCATGTGCCATAATTACTGAGACATTTTAATGGAAGGATTTGATGGAAACTTTAATCTGATGTAATTTTAATTTCATATTTCATAGTTGTGGTGAATTCGGTCACTATAGACCGGAATGCCCAATGAGAAAGAAAGATAAATAAAGGAAGTTAGCTTGAGTATATTAATTACTCATCTTATTTTGAGTTACAAAAGGCTTTTGAAGATTTTCATAGAGAAGCCTTAAGAGCTTTTAGCAAGTTAGCTTCACATGAAAGAGTTATTTTAAATTTAGAAGGTAAAGTGTTAGAATTCGAAAGGAAGTTTGAAGCTATTAAGAAATATATGATAGATATTCAAAGTGACAAGAGTGGCGAAATAAAACCTCCTAGGTTTGATTGTGAAAATTGTCATAATAGACAAGAGGAAGTAAAATCTCTTCAAGTCAAATTAGATGATGCCTTGCAACCTAAGATGGTGTTTTCTATTGAGCCTTCTAAGTTTGAAAAGCCTTTGAAGCATTCTAAAAAGAAGCATAGATATATGTATAATAATTCATAGCAAGGACATGTCTCATAAAAACCTATCTTGTCATTATTGTTGCAAAAAGGGACATACCATTGAAAAATGCAAATATAGGAAACTCTTTGTTCCTAAAGGAATTGTTAAATGGTTGTCTAAGTGCAACTTTGATCTCACTCACTATCAAGGACCCAATGAAAATTGGATACCTATTTCCTTTATTTAAATTTTTAGTTTGAATGTCTTGACTCTATCAAAAAGATGTCGTATCTTGATAGTGAATGTTCAAGGCACATGACGGCTAACATAACCATCTTCATTGACTTCATGCCATAGATAAAGGGGTTCGTCACGTATGTAGATAATAACA